TTTTTTTTTTTTTTTTACTTTTTTAAGCTTATAAAAATAAAATTCCTTCCCGAATAAAATATCCGGAATGTTCTTAAATTCTTTGAAATCATGTGAATTATAATAAGCACCCAGTATTTTAAAAATCAAAAGAATATGGTACATATGGTGCATATAAAATTTAAGGAATAATTATTTTTAGTTAGAATGATTACTACGATGGGAAAATTCTTTATTATATTAAAAGAGAAAAAGGGTGAATTTAAAAATTTTTGGGGAGGGGAGGGAATTTGTAATCAGACATTAGATGCATATAGTTTAATCCCCTTAAAAAAAAATAGTATAATTATGGTAATAAAAGTACCCAAGTGTAACATGAATTTTTTTTAGGGGATTAATCTAGTTAAAATAGGATATTTAAGCTTAATTTATCGATGGTCACAATTTACCTGTCATAGTAAAATAAAATAAAGAAAAAAGTTTATGCACGTCGGCCTTTACGCATCTACGCATTTTGTGCATAAATCGTATATATCAGTATATCAGTCGCGAGGAAAAGCTTTTTTTTGATTCTTTGATGATGAAATCTTAATAGATTTTTTTATCAAAAGATTATAAATATTGTCATTTGTTGATTTTAAGATCGGTAATTCGGTATTATCTCTTATATCATATTATCATTACACGTATAATTTTATCAAACACAAAATCAATCACGTTACGTAATATAAAATTTTTTTTACCTGTTTACTTTGTTATTATCTGTATTATCTGTAGATTTTTTTTTTTTTTTTAAAGTTCTCCGAGATTAATAATAGACAGACATCAATCATATCATTAAAGAATCATTGAATAACCAACTAGATACAAGGATCTAGAAAAGTTAAACCCGAAATGTTGTCATAATATAATATAGATGGAATTTGATATTGTGGTATACCACAAGTAAATTTCGTATGGTTGCATACCCTAGCATATGATAATAACAAAACACATCCCCTATTTTCTAAAAAAGAAGGAAGAAAAAAGAAAGAAGAAAGAAAAAAAAAAAATTCTTTTTAATCGAGAAATTTTTTTTGGATTTTCATGTGGCTAAAAATATTTGAATTACGATATTAGGTAATCCGGCGCTCGCAGCGCCTAAGGAAATGGATTGTATGAATAAGGTAATATTATTTTGAATATATAAAATATTGAAAAAAAGTATTCGTCTTTTTTTTTTTGTTTCTCTTCGTTACATTTTCAAATATTTTTCGTTCGTTAAATTCATTCGTTCATTGGTTCGTCCGTTCGAATTTATGACTATTATGTCATAAATTTTTTTTTTATTCGTTTTAAATATACTCGATTTTTCTTTTTTTATATATATTTTAACGTTTGATGCCTCTCGTTCTCACTTTGATTTTCTCTCAAACTTGAAAAATCATAATTTTTTTATGCTGGTTATTTTTTATAATACGTTTCATCTCCAATCAAAAACGTTCGATATCTTAAATAAATGGTATCTAAATATTTACATTATTATATTTCAAATGTTTTTTTTTATAATTTAAAATATTTAAAATATTTAAAATATAAAATTTTTTAATAAAACCTTTATATTAATAAAAATATTATTATTATTATTATTTATATCTTTTTATTAGATGTTTATATAAACATTAATGTTTTACCAGTTTTAAATAAATATAGCAATTCAAGCATAATCATAGTCGGCAAAAAAAAAAAAAACCCTTAAGAATTTTAAAAATGTACGAAAAAATATAATTGTTGTGATTTTTTTTTTATACAAATAATGATCTTGAATTTTCTACTTACTCTTTTTTTCTTTTTCTTTTTCTTTTTAGATTTAAGTATAAAAATAAGCAGTAATTAAGATTTATATCGCCCGCAACGATGTCGCAAGATTTAATTCTTTTAATTACTTTTTTTTTTTTTTAATTAATTATGAAATTTATATATACAAAGATTTTTTTATATAGTTCTTTTTAATGGTGGAGAACAACGAAAAAAAAAAATTTAAAAACTAAAAATATTTAAAAATTAATCAATTAAAATCAATCAAATCAAAATAAATTTACGTATAATTAATATATATTCATATAATATATTTATATATTTATATTTATATTTATATCGTATATAAATATATTTATATAATATTTTCGATTAAAAAAAATATCAAAATATATTTTTTTCTTCTGTAAAGAACGCGTTATTTTTTTTTTTCGGTAACAAATAACAATTTTAAACAATGTATTTAAAAATAATATTTTGTGCTTTATTAAAATTCTTTTAGGTGAACAAATATAATTAAATGCACGTTGAAAATTTAAGATTTTAATATTCGAAATCTGATATAGAAAAAACTCTTTTATTCTATCTCTTTTTTAATTTTTTTTTAAACAAAAAAAAAAAAAATTTATATTACAAATTTTTATGTCGATCATTCATTTATTAATACTCCGCATGTTCAACTTCGGTACGATGAATTTTAGGTAAATTGTAAAACAATAAATAATAATCCTTATTGGTTGACCAAAAAATTTGAAATTCTGAATGACTAAACATAACACAATAATATAACTCAAAGAAAATCCCTCGTTTTTTTTATATTTTCGGTTATTCGGTTATTTGGTTAAGAAGATTTTAATAAATTTCCGTATAAAAAAAAAAAAAAAGCCACATTACCAAATCAATGTATTACAATTATAACCTTCAATTTCTTTTGCCACATAAAAATATTTTCGCATAAAAATATTTCCGGTCACAAAAAAAAATAAAATAAAAAAATAAAAATAAAATAAAAAATCCTAAATTTTTTTTTTTTTGATCAATTGATTTATATATAATTTTTTAAAGCAACTAAAACATTTATCAGTAAGATTTACTTTTTATAAAATTTTTTTATATGCAGAGTAATGAAAAATATTTTGATCACGAAAATAAACGTGTCTAATATTATTGTTTATAATTCACATCACCAATAATGTTATACAATTAAAATTATCTCATGAATTCCGGTAAGATGGTAAAATGAAAATCCTTTTTGAAAAATTTAATTAAAAAAATGATAGAGATTTTCTACACGCATGTTACAAAAAAAAAATAAACATGAATGAAGTACCAATTGGTAAAATATTGATAAATTTAAGATCAATAACATTTGCTTGCGAGTAAAATGAAAAAATCATTATATACATTATATACGGTAACTTATATACATATTTACATATATAATATACATAATAATAATATACATCTGTACTTATTATTATTAATATTATAATCACGATCCCAAGAAAAATTGTTCCAAAAATAGATGAACCTGATATTTATTACTAATCCATTTTTCTATTATCCAATTCTTTTTTAGTATTTCATTAATGCAGGTTTCTTTCTAGCAAATAAATAAACTACTGTTATAAATAGAATTTTTAACGATCTTTAGGAACTTGTTTTTTGTTTTTGTTAAACATTGCATGTTTTTTTTATTGTAACAAATTACATTAAATTACATATATACAAAGTCCATTTAGGATAAATCTAAAGTTAGAGAACAACATTTCAAATATGGTATCATTTCAAATCATCTTATTCAATCCAAAAAACTATGTTGAACAAAAAGTAAAGGGGACAAAAAGAAAAAAAATATTAGTTCGGAATTCCCCGAATCGACATTTTATATTTGTTTATTTTTTTTTTTTAGTCCACATCTGAGGACACATAATTTTTAAATACATTGTCAATTTGTTAATATAACAACACATGAATGAAACAAATATTCGGAATATTCTTCATGCATGCAATTAAAAACTGTATAGTGGTGAAATGGTGGCGAAATATGAATGCCTACTGTGAACTACTGTGAACTACTGTGAATATTTATGTGATTATTTTATATCGATCGAAACTGCATTTACTGCATTGATATAATTTTCAACTACCACAAAAAAAAACCCCTCACTCCTCCGCGTTATATGGTTTCATTTAATTCCCTTTATTAGGAATAAAATTTTCTATTATATGATTATTAACGATTAATCATTAATTTACCCACTTTTAATCACTCGAAAGTAGTAATCGTAATCGAGAGTGTTACATTCCCATCTTCCAAATTCTTGAAAAAAACTTGTATATCTTGTTTTTTAAAATGATTATGTGCGCCGTAAAGAAGGTTAGGAAATCCCGTTTTTAAAATTTGGTGTTATTGTGTTGTACAGTATATTTAGTATATTTCGAATATGCCTAAAGTTGTACAGTTTGGAATGAATCAAAAAAAAAAATTTTTTTTTTTATGTGTATGTGTATATACAGTATATATATAATACATATATATATATATATATTATTATTGTTTTTTTTTTTTATCAAATAAATAACGAACTTTCATTCCTTTATTATAAAGAAAGAATTTTTTATTTCTCTTTTTTATTAATTATTTTCATTCGTTATCTTTTATTTTTAATTTTTTTATCTTTTTTTCTTTCTTCCTTTTATTCTCTTCTTACCCTTTTTTTATCTTGGCAAATCATCTCAGGAACTACTAACTTTTGTTAGTAATTGGTAATATTTACGCCTGTCCTGTGCATCCAAACTATATCTAAACATGAATAATTGCTGATAAATTCTTTTAAAATTTAAATTTTATTTTCTTTTCTTTTTCTTTCTCTCTCATTTTTCTCACAATCGTAAAATTATTATTATTTTCTTTGACTTTTCATTTAAAAAGTAAAAAAAGCATTCATTTCTATAAAATTTTTTTTTTTTTTTTAAAAAAAAAAAAAAAGAATTTAATTTTTTTTAAAAAATTAAATTAAAATTACAAACAAAATGAAAATATCGCATCATATTTCTTCTTTAAAACGAAGAAATCAAATTGACCGAGGCGTAGATCAAATAAATGATGAAGATTTTGTAAATATCAATCATTTCATTGAAACCACTTCTTCTTCAGGAAATGGTTTACCACATTCAAATAATTATCAAGCTTTAAATAATTATCAAGCTTTTGGATCTGATGATGATATTAATAATCATCCTTTAGAAACAAATTCAGCTTGGAGAATACTTGCAATTTTAGGATTGGTTTGGACAATTGTAATATTGTTGGTAGTTTTTATATTTATAATTAAAAAGACTGTTCTTTCACCACCTGATGCAGATCAGCTTCCAGAAACGAATCCTGAAAATGAGTGGATGATTGCTTCATTTGAAAATTCAGATAATGAAAATATTGAAGTACCTTTATCGACGAATGTCTCTCGTGAAACGATTGATAATTAAAAAATACGTACTAAAATTAAGTATCTATTTATTAAGTACATTTTTTTTTTTAAGATCTTTAACTCAATTAAGCAGAAATACGTTATAATTATTTATAGTTATTTGATCGGTCAATTTAAAATTATAAAAAAAGTTGGGAGTAGTATTATTATAGATTTTATGAATTTACTTTCTTTTTTTTTTTAAAAAAAAAAATATATAACAACATTTATAAGAACAATTTAAAAATCGGTAATTTCTCTAATTTCTCTTAAACTTTTAGCCTTTTCCAGTTTTCTTTTTTTTTTTTCAACTCATTCTCATTTTTAAAAGTAAGGTCACGCTTTATAGAAAAAGGTAAAAAAAAATAGTGAAAGGATAAAATAAGATGATGAGACACGACTTTTCATATAGTGTATTTTTCTAAGAAACTTTTTTTGAGAAAATCAAAAAAATGGTGTAGGTGATTAGTGTTAATAATTTATACTAGCCATAACACGTATGGTAGTTGGTTTAATATTAATTATAATAATGGCAACATAGTAGTTGGTTTAATATTAATTATAATAATGGCACGACATTATTTAACATAGTAGTATAACAAACAAGCTTATCAATATCATGTCACGTGGAAATATGTTAATGATTTTTATGATGATTTTCTAAAGTTTAAATAAAATTGATGTCGATAATTTTATGTCGATAAAAATATATATATATATACTATTAAGGTATTTGTACCAAATTTTAAAGTTTTAACTATGAATAAAAATATTAATTATACTTATAACTCCCCAAACCACAAGGTTTAATATAATATTATATTGGTTAGCTAATTAACTAATTAACTAATTTTAACTAATTTTAACTAATTTTAACTAATTTTAACTAATTTTAACTAATTTTAACTAATTTTAACTAATTTTAACTAATTTTAACTAGTTTTAACTAATTTTAACTAATTTTAACTAATTTATATATTCACTTTCCACCTCTGGTTTTAAATCTTTATGTTTTTAAGATTTAAATTATGTCTGAGCGTATACATTGTACTATTTTTTTTTTTTTTTTTTTTTTTTTTAAGAAACAATAATATCGTATTATGCACAGTGCTGCATGAATAAACAAAACTTTAGCAGTTAGGNAATTCATCAGATGCCACAAGAAGATCTAAAATATCTGAAACATCTTTGTCTTTTAAATCAAGAATACCAGTATATATATATCTAAAAAAAAAATTATAAAATTTAATTATTCTAAAAGTAAAAAAAAAATGCCATTTGACGGCAAAGCAGTAGACGGAAATACAAGAAATAATTACCTAATAATCATCTCAAACACAATAGGAGAAATATTCTGTTTAGTAAAATTAATCATGTTATTTTCTTTAGTAACCCAATCCTGTGAAAGAGCTTTTTTAAAATAAATAGAACGAGCTTTCAATATAATAGAATGAGCACGAAATTCTTTTGTATTTGAACCTTCTCCAACTTTAATAATAACATTATGTTCATCTGTATCCTCAAGTAATTGAGAAAAATTCTGTGATAATCCAGGATAAAATTCAAAAGACATTTTAGAAGGATTCTAATTATATATATATATAAATTTTTTTATAAAAAAAAAAAAAAAAGTATACGAAATCATTCTTTTTTGTTTATTCTTTTCTGATTCCTTTTTTACCTTCTTTTTTTGAATTCATAGTTCCTCTTTCAAACTAGCATCACCTTATCACCTTTTATTCTTCTTTTTTTTTAAAAAAAAAAAGAAAATTCCTTAGGAAAAAAAAAATTAATAATTAAATAAAAAACTTGCATAAGGAATGATTCCTCCTTCCGCAAGACCTTTTCCAGAGGTTGAAGATGAAATACAATATGACTATCGTCATCCTCTTTATATTGGTGATTGGAGAAAATCCATCGCTTATATTGATGAAGATTTTGCCATTGATGATTTAGATGAACCACATATGAAACGTAGAATTACAATTTTAAACCATCATCCTGAAATTGAACAATTATATGGTTACGATATTAAAACTATACCTATTACAATTATTGTTGTTTTGATGCAAATAATAGCTGCTTATATATTTGGACGTATTTTATTAGATTGGGATTGGGTAATGATCATTTATTCTTATGTTATTGGAGGAGCGATGACTCAAATTTATTTTGCTATAATTCATGAAGCTGCTCATTGTCTCACTGCTCCAACAAGATGTCAAAATCGAATGGTTGGGCTCTTGGCGAATATAGCAATTCCTTTACCTTTAGCAATGTCTTTTCGTCGTTATCATTTAGAACATCATGTGTTTCAAGGTGTGAGCGGAATTGATCCAGATTTACCTTTAAAATGGGAAATGAATCTTATTCGTGGTAATACTATGTTAAAATTGTTATGGCTTAATCTCTATCCAGCAATCTACCTTTATCGTAACATAATTAAATTAAAAGGTCCTCAATATTGGGAATATGTAAATTGGATTTTTACCGCTATCATAAATGTTCTTATATATTATTTTTGTGGCGGAAGAGGTATACTTTATTTATTTTTATCGCTCTGGTTCGGTTATAGCATTCATCCTGCTGCTGCTCATTTCATTCAAGAACATTATACTTTTGATGATGGGCAAGAAACTTATTCTTATTATGGGCTTTTAAATAAAATTTTCATGAATGTTGGATATCACAATGAACATCATGATTTTACAAGGGTAAATTTTTAAAATGTATACGCGGTTTTCAAAATTCTGTATTTTTAATATAACCGATGGGTTCATTTATATATTATTCCGATTAATATTTTTGCATTCTTTGAATGGTGATCATTTTTTTCCATACAGAATTTTGAAAACTTGCTATTAATGTTTATTGTATTTTTTTTTATTCATAAATAATCTTAATTATCTAGATTCCGTGGTCTAAATTACCGGAAGTGCGCCAAATTGCATCGGAATATTATGATCATTTAGCTTATCATACCTCATGGTTGATGGTGCATTGGAATTTCGTTACACAGAAGCAATTTGGTCCACAAAGCCGGGTTAGAAGAAGTATACAAGATCACAGGAAAGGTCGTAAAATGTTGGGTGTCTTGAAAAAATCTTTAAATGAAGAATGAAGTGAAACAATATTATTCACTATGAAATCACTTTCGCTTCATTATTATCATATAATAATATTATAAGAAATAATTTTTTAGGTCAATTTATATAATCAACCGTTTAAGATGAAAAAAAAATTAATATGCGTAATAAATTCTTCATATAATGAAACACATAAGGTGTGTCATACACAGAATAAGTCATTTTATCATATTTACAATAATTTTAACAATAATTTTTAGTAATAAGCAATAATTTATATATATTAAATATATTTACATCTTTTTTTTAAGTTTATAGCTTTAACGTGCAGATATGCAAGTCCAATCATTATATTAGTTTATATAGTTGTTTTTTGATATGAATGGTACTTGTAATATTAATTTAAGAACAATAAAAAGCAACAAAATTTTTGAATTATCAAAATTCTGCTATTGCATAACACAATAACAAGTATTCTTTTTGATGAAAAAATCACCATATACCATATATATCCGAAAATAAGCGTCGTTTTTATCTAATCAATTAGATTTTTTTTTTTTTAAAAAAAAAAAAAAAAAAAAAAAAGAGAATTACCGCAGGTGATTTTCACAGCATAATTCCGGCAAAATTTAGGCGGCTTTATATGTAGTTGAATTTTGTATAGCATTGTTGCATTAAGCACTTTACTTGAAAAATCCTTTTTTTTTTTTTTTAAGTAGTATATTTTAAGCTTAAAAGTGAATTTATTCAATCAGAAATCAATCCTAAAAAGTAATTAAAAGTAAACCTTTAAGGTTTTAACTATATTAAATATAAAATTTAAAAGAATCATATATATTTTTAAATAACTTAAAATTTATAGAATTAACATATTTTATAAAGAAATACCAATTTTATAAAGTATAAAAATTTGGTTCAATTTTGGAATCTTAATAAATAAAAAATTTAATATCAATGTAATACTGTACATATAATGATATAATGATTTGCCAATTCCAAACTGTTAAAAATTGAAATTCACCTTATAAAAAATTTTGTATGTTATTTTCTGTAAAAACTTTGTAAAAATAATTAAATCTTTTACAGATTTATTTATAGATCTATAAATCATCTATTTACAGAAAATGTAAATAATTAAAAAATTTTGTAATATATAAGGTTATTAATTCCAGAAATATGAATGAACCTTTTACAGAAAAAAAAATGGAATATAAAATACAGATTAATTTTTTTTTATAGGATTATTGAATTATTAATTTTCTTAAATTTTTAATATTTAAAAAAAATTTTTTTGATAATAATATTTGTAAGATTTTATTATCAGTTTATATATGCTAATATTTATTTTTTTAAAATTAAATGATATTATTTGACCAATAATATTAATTATTTTAAATTTAAACATTTATACTAATTAAACTTAAAAGTAAATTAACAAATATATAATAATTTTTTTTTGAAAAAAATATATTAATAAATAAAATAAAGATAAATCTAATTGTAACAACTTGTTACATGTCTTATTTGTAACAACTTCAATTTTATTCAATTAAAATTTAAGATCAAATGTAATGTAAACAAAAATAAAAGATTAATTATGTAACTAAAACAAGAATTTTTTTAAAAAATTTCAAGAAACTGCTTATAACTTAAAATTTTATCTATGAAACTGTCTTAAGTACATTAAGTAAAAGTTTTCCAAATTAAATTTTACATATAAAAATTTTATTTGTAAAGTATATACTAAATTTATTATTAAAAAAAATAAAAAATATATAACAAGTTGTTACAAATACATTTATTCATAAAATAAAATGTAAATAATATATACTATATTTAATATAATATTTATTCTATAAATAAGTTTATTATTTTACTATTTTTTTTTTTTCATTTAATTAATTTTTTTATATTACATTATACAACTATTTTCATATAAAATTAATATTTTTTAGTTTTTTATAATTATTTTAAAAATTTGAATATATTTTTTTTTTATTTTGTAAAATTTATTAATCATTTTAAAAGTATTGATTTATACTAGTATATAGTTAAAGCTCATTATAGTGAATTTTCAGTTTTACCCATTTTAGTTCACTATAATGAATATTCATAAAAATGAAAGATTTCTTTATAGTGAACTTTGTATTAATACAATAAAAAGTTTTTTTTAACAAAAGTACTTAATTTTTGATTTTAAAGCCTTAAGAATTACTAATTCCATGTATATTTAGACTAATGAATTATTTATAATAATTCTATTGGTATTTCATAGTATAATCTTATAAATTTAATTTCTTATACAAATAATATCAATAATAAAATGAAATACTAATTCTAATTTTTGTGTTTAAAGTAATTTGTAAACAATATACCTAATAATTTTATGTAATATTTATTATAATGAATATAAATTTATAATATATATTCTATATAAAATTTTTAAAAAGTCAAATATTGAAATTTTATTAGTAAGTTTACTATAACAAATAAGATTTATTAATAAGTGAACTGAAGAGCCAAATTTATTATAGTAAGTTTCATTATAATGAGTATTAACTGTATATCACTGGTAAAAAAATGGTCTATCCTACACATATCCTACACATATCTTACATATATCGGGTACTCAAAATGTAGAAAATCATACACAAATAATACACATATCATATACATATCGGGTACTTATATATATAGTATACCTATCAGGTACCTGATATATGTATGATATATATATTAGTACCCGATATGTGTATGATATGTGTATTATTTGTGTATGATTTTCTACATTTTGAGTACCCAATATGTGTAAGATATGTGTAGGATAAATCATTTTTTTACCAGTGTATATGTAGTTACATACATATTATATATATACTATTTTAAACTTAATTTAAAGAAAATTTAATTTTATTTTTGAAATTATATATAAACTAAATTTGTAATTAATTCATCCAATTATAAATGCAAATTTACATATAAAAATAGATTAATATATATTTATATCAGTTATGATATATTTTGCTAAAAGCCATTTTACCAAAAGGACATTTTGCTAAAAAATAGGACTAACATTATGCAGAATTATAAATAACTCAGGCCAAAGATTATTTTTCAGCAAAATAGCTTTTGGCAAAATGTTCTGATACCATTTATATTAAATATATTATATGATAATTAATTGCCGATCCGCATGTGATCGATAGAATTTACATAGTAAAATGCGGCGTTATATTAATTAATAAAAAAAATGCCGTTTGAAATCTCTGTTTCCCCAAGAAATAACAACGTCAAATACATACATAACTCCCAAAAAACTTGTTGCAACTGGCGCTATTATATCAGAACTTCATTATTATGTCCATATTTATATGACTTGTTTATTATTTTTTAAGAAAAAAATTCAAGATAACTATTCCTATTTTGAAATTATGCTAAAACTTAATAAAAGTCCTTTTATTATTCATATATTTCATTATATTCATATTTTTTACAAACTGGACATATTTGTGAAAGAAAAAGAGATATAAAAGTGCGTAGTGTTATTAAAAATGTAATAGTTGACAGAAATAATAATCAAAAAAAGTTTTATAAGCGTCAAAGAAAAGTTAAAGAGTTTATACCATAGAAGTAAAATAGTAGTAAATACTATGAAATCTCCATTTCCTACATATAAAACTTTATAAACTGCAAAGAAAAAAAACTTTTTATAAAAAAATTTTTTTTTTCTAAGATCTTAAACGTATATTGCAGGTGTTAAATTACGCAATTGTATAACAATATGGTTGAATTTTATTTGATATAAAAATATGATCGACATGGCTTATATATAAAAGTTGCGCCGCATTTTATTATATAAATTCTATCGATCACATGCGGATCAGCAATTAATTATTTAATTATCTAAAAATTTATCTAATATTTTTAAAAAAACTTTACATATTATTAATACAACTATTAAAAATAAAAGTTAACTATAACAGAAAATAAATAATTACAATAATTAAGAATTATAATAAAGAGAAAAAAAAAATATATTTTTGCATATATTAATAAAATTTTTTTTAACAAAAAAATAACCATCAGTATTATGTTCATCAGCCAGTATAACCTAATTGTTTAATTAACTTGTTTCTACTTTCTTATTCAAAGAAACTTCAAGATAAAAACAAATTCATAGATCTAAATTTTTTTTTTAGCAAAATTTACTAATGTATTATTACCAAAACATATGAATTTTTAATTGTATATTGCATAAAATTTTTTAAGAATACAAAAAAACAAATAAATAATAAAAAAATATAATGTTTAGACTAGAGATGCTGGGTGAAACCAAAATATTTAGTCATTTGACAAAACTGAAATAGTTTAGCCATTTAAAATTAAAAGATGAAATACCAAAATTTAATATTTCATGGTATTTCTATAGATTTTTCATAAATTTCCATGGATTTTTAATTATAATAATTACTTAAAAAAATAAATTTTTATTAAAATATAATATTTTTTAAAAAGAATTTATAAAACTATTATAAATATAATTAATTTTATATATCTTTATAATAAAACTATAATTTTATATAAGGATTAATTTAAAATTCACTGGGGTGAATTTCACCTTATTTCTGTTGTATTACATAAATTTTTTAATAAATTACACAAACAGCACGGTAAAATTCACCTCGATTTCTATTGTATTACAACAATAAATTACACAATAAATTACACAACAGTATGGTGAAATTCACCTCTGGTGAATTTCACCCCTTTAATTTTCGTAACATATAAACTCAACTAACCTTTAATGTTTACTTTACCGCCACTTTCCTTCTTTTGTTTTTTTGTGTTCTTTAAAGAAAAGGCCTTCTTTTCTTAGTAATGGATAACGTTAAATCGTTAGCTTATTCAGATAATCATGATTTATACTCTTTCTCATCATATTCTGAACCTTTTAATGAAAACCTTTCACTATATTCACAACTTTTTAATATAAACTCTTTATCACATAAGTTACTACCATCTGAACTATTTTCTAAGCCTTCTGACCTACTTGCTGAACCACTTTTTAAGCTACTCTCCAAGCTTCCTTCTGAACCACAACCACCTTTTAAGCAGCCTTCTGAACTGATACTTTCTAAACCACTTTTTGAAATACCATCCGGACCACTTTCTGAAATACCATCCGAACCACTTCCTGAAATACCATCCGAACTACTTCCTGAAATACCATTCGAACCACTTCCTGAAGCACCTTCCAAACTACTTCCCGGATTACTTTCAGAACCACTTTCTGAGCCACTCCCTGAACCACGTTTTGAGACATATTTCGAACTAGATGAAAATATAGACTCTTTAGAGCAACCTAATAATTATCAATACAATCTTGCTATTGGAGATACTTTTGATAACTGGGAGTCTGTTAACATATTCATGCATCAATATTGCTTAGAACGCGGGTTTGAATACCAAATCTTCTGAAGTGACAAAGACCAAAATGATCCTACTATCATTCGATGCAAATCTTTTCGTTGTTTATCAAGTGGTAATTATGAAGCTCGAAAAATAATTGATCAAAAATCACATCGTTTACGTGGTACTATCAAAACAAATTGTGAATGGCATTGTAATTTCACATTTCCCAAAACTGCGCATTGTGTAAAATGTACAACGATAAAAGACGTACATAACCATGAGATAGTAAATCCTTCTCAGGTGCCGCATATGATCACCAGATATCGGCGCTTTAGTGAAGAAATGATACAAGATCTCTAATTTTTTATAGATTGCAAAGTAGCACCAATTGTAACATTAGAGATGCTTAAAAAAAAGTATCCTCAGCATGTATTCCATAAGCAAGATGTATACAATACAATTTATAAATTATGTCAAAGCAATAATCATGAAAAATCATCAGATTCTACATCATTACTTGATACTCTTTTTGAAAAGGTATCTCAGAATCCAACTTGGAAGGTTTTTGTTCGACATTCTGGTAATGAACATCGTTTATCAGGCGTATTCTAGATGTCACCATCCCAGCAAGAATTGTACCGAAGATTTTCTGATATTGTGCTTAATGATAAGACTTGTAAGACCAATAAGTTTAATATGTATCTAAGTGTATTTATGGTAAAAGATAATTATGGAAGATTTCAAAATGTAGCTAATGCGTTGGTTGAAGATGAACTTTCATCAACATATTTATGGATACTAAAGTGCTTAATGAAAGCAACAGATAATATTATTCCAAAATCTATTTGGACGGATTTTGAACCTGAACTTATCAATGCTATTTCTCAAGTTTTTCCAAATACACAGCACTTTTTGTGTTTATTTCATATTTGGCAAAATATTATAAAGCATTTGAAGACACCTTTAGGTTCGAATTTTAATAATTTTAGTAAAGCATTTTATTCGTGCAAGAATTCATTAAGTATAGAGATCTTTGAACAGCGCTGGGAATTTATGATAAAAACATTTCCAGAGTGTCAACGTTATATGATTAGAACACTGTATCCAGTTAGAATGAATTGGGCCAAAGCTTATACTCCATTTCAATTTAATGCCAGTATTCAAAGTACACAAAGTGTGGAGTCGTTTAATGGTATTATTAAAAAATCTTTAAATGCCGTTAGTACACTCTGTGATGTTTAAGAAGCAATTGATAAAAGGCATAAAGAAGAAATTAAGTATTGTCAATTAGTGGATCTTAAAGCAAAATATACAACAATTGGACTCCCACATATTTCATCACAAATTTTTTCAAGTGTTGATGTGATTATTGTAAAATTTTTGACACCTCTTATATTATCATTACAACAATTTCAAATTTCGCAATCTTTTACTTATGAGGGACAGATAGCACCTGAGGTATATATTTATTATTTAATAAAGTACAATAGCGTGATGTTACAAAAACTTTATTAATTTACTTTTATTATATAGGATCTCAATCTACAATCTAATACTTTAAATGACAATTTTATAGAAGATGTAATTGATGAACCTCAAACAACGCTAAAATCTCTATTAGATGGTATGGATACATCAAGTATCATAGTAGAAGTATGGAAAATTCGTCGAATAGAAGGTTTATCTTGTAAAGAAAATTTAGTAGCTCTTTTTTCTGATGGAACTTATATATGTACATGTATGGAAACTATCACCAAGGGAATTGTTTGTCGTCATTTTTGGAGAGTAATGCTTTATTCAAGTAATGCAAGGTTCCATATTAGTCTTATACCTGCTAGGTGGTATAAGGATGAGATTTTAATGAAATTGGATGTTGCTCTTGAAAATTCACCAATAATTAAAGCAATAGAATCATCTAGTGAAGCTACAACAGTACCACTGACAGTGGATTTCACTCTTCAAACTTTACAACATCTTCAAGGATTATTTCACAATAAAGAAAATGTTCAACGCATTATTCCTTAAAGAAATCGATTTGGAATAGCATTTTCAATGGCTAAAACTGCAATTAATATTGCATTAGAAACTAGGAGTGATAATAAATTGGTGAAATTACTGAAGGATTTTATTTTAACTAAACAAAGGGGTCGGAATGGTAGTGATTCAGAAAATAATGTTGATATGAAAAATTCTGAGCATAACGAAAATGATGATGTTATTCCTTTACAACAGCAGTTAATTGATCAGACAACAGATCCTCATGTTACTAGAATTCGAGGAGCTCCTTGTAAAAAAAGAATAAAGAGCGCTATTGAAATGTCAGGAAAAAATAGGGCAATACGTGAAATTACAAGTCAAGTTAACGTACAAGAGACTGATGATGGAGGTGCAACATCAAGATCACAACGAAAATGTTTATTATGCAGAAAATCAGGTCATTATCAGAAAAAATGTCCTGGTAAAAGTAATATCAGAGAAGAAAACTAATGTTTAAAACTTTTAGTATTATGTATATACGATTTATATGTTGTTATGTATGCAAAATATGTTACTAGCTAGACAGCTAGTTATGTTCATTTAAGACGGCAAAAACTTTATTTTTTACGTTATAATATGAATTTTTTTTTCTTATGATTTTATTTGTATAAAACATTTATTTTTACTTGATCGTTATAATAAACACTTAATAAAAAGAATAAGTATTCATGCTTAAAATATAAACAATTTAAAATATAAATTTTATTATTTTTAATACAAAAATTTTTTACGTGATACGGTGAATTTCACCTTTTGGTGAATTTTACCTCCGGTGAGCGTTAAAATCGTCCGTTATATAATTAAAATTAAAATTAAAAATTATTATTATATAGTTTAGTCAATGACAAAACCAAAATTAATTAGTAATGAAACTGAAATTTTTGGCAAAAAGAATTTAGGCAGGCATCACTAGCTTGGACTTATTTAATGACTTAAGATCTGTATACTTCCTCAAATATTTCACTTATTTAATTTTTTTTATTTTTCAAAATAAAATTACAAAAAAATTAGATAGATTTAATATATTAAAATTAATAATAACTTTAACAACTAATAATCAAATCATGTTCAATCTTTATAAAATTGAAGTGATACTACCTTAATGGAAAAATATACTAAATAAATATGAAGATAATTTACAATTGAACTTATTTTACTTATTTCATCATACTGTAAAATATAATAGTTTGATAAATTCAGATTATACTTTCAGATAATAAAAAATTTCACCAAAAAAAAATTGAAAAATTTTATAAGATAAAAAACAAAAAATAATTCTAATCTACAGAAGTCTTTATCATAGATTTTTTTCTTTTTTAATATAAAGAAGTTTTTAAAAATGAAGCTAAATTGTAAAACTGATGGTATTTAAAGAAAATCATTTAAGATTATTTTTACAATATCAAATAAATATTTAGTTAGAAGTTACAATTATATAATACATAAAAATTCTAAATTTGATTAGTTATTCTAGAATTAAATTCAAAAGTAAATTTTTTTTCATATTATTATAATAATAAATTTTAAAATATGTCTAAAAATATGTTCAGTCTTAATCAGATAAGTTGACAAAATTGTTTTAATAGTTCTTTTTCCCAAAAGATGAATATATATTTGAATTGGAAATATTAGCAATAATGAGTAAATGATAGTAAAAAAAAGGAGTAGTAAAGAAAAAGTCATTTACAAAAAAGTTATGAAAAGAAATTTTTTTGCATATTATTAATGTAAAAACTTCTTGTATATTGGAATTATTTCTATTTTTTTTATGGTATTATTTAAAACCAAAAAAAGAGTAGATCTATTGAAGTAAAAGAAGTTGTTATATAAATAATAAATGAATTACTCATTTATAAACAGTTTATTTTTAATTCTTTTTATATTACAGAAGTTATAAAGTTTGTAATAAATTGCTTAAAAGTATTTTCAAATATTTTGCATATATTTATATCATCTAATATATCTTCTTTTTAAATATTTTAGCTTAATTATTTTATAGAAACTGCCAATATATTACAGAATAAACAGAAGGTATACCAGTTATAAATGATAAATGTATTATTCAAAAATATTTTATATATATTATAAAAGTTTTAAATAAAAAATAAAAATAAAAAAATAATTTATTTTATAAAAATAAATAGTTCTAAATATAATCAGAAAGAGTTTTTAAATTTTATTTTATATAATATATTATATTAATGAAATTATTTAATATTTTACAGTAAAATTTATTAAAAATAAATTTTATCTTAATTTATATAATGTATAACTAATTTTCAAATAGATTTATTTATTTTACAGCTAGTAATCAAAATTATTTAGCCATTTTTTAAAATAAAAATTATATATATTATATTATATATAATATAATTATATAAAAAAAATTTATTTTGTATATTTATTATATTTTTATTTATTGATTTACATAAAAATTTTATTAATTAATTCTATTTTTATTTGCAAAAATAATTATGCTGTCAATCAATTTTTGTAATATTTTGGAGAAATTTCTTTTAGCAATTTTTATGATAGTCAATATAATTAAAATTACAAAACAAAATTTATAAATTTTAACATTTCAAAATTATCTAAATTATTTTTGAATTTAATATCCATATTCTAATTAAATAGAATGTTAAATAATCTTAAATTGTCATAATATTAAAATTTAAATCTTTAAAATATATATCTAATCATAATAACTTGATATTCTATAATTCAATTTTAATAATTAAATTTGTCTTATAAAAATAAATTGAATAGTGATAATTTTATGTTTTTAATTTTAATAGATTCTGAAATAGTAGTTTAAATTATATTAAAATTAATTTAATATATATTGATGATGAAGATATATGATCAGTACTATTTGATACATCTTATTAAAATAAATCTAATAATAAGTTAATAATAATCTTTTTAAGATCACTGAATAGTGAATATTAAAATATATCTGTTAAATGTTTATTTTAAAAATTTTAAATTTTACATTTTAGCAATTTTAATATAGAACAAATTACTCATTTGCTGTAAAATTCTGAAAAATATAAGGCTTAAAAATTTTGTTTATTGTGATTATAAATATAAAATAATATATTTTTTATAGTATAAGGCTAGTTTTCTTCCCATATGATTTAATCCAGATGACATCACCTATATAAAATTAAATCATGTAGATTAGTTAGGATTAGGGTTAGGGTTAGGGATTGGGTTAGGGGATTAGGATTAGGGTTAGGATTAGGATTATGGTTAAGGGTTAGGCTTAGAGTAAGATTTGGGTTCGCTGGAGTTATTAAATTTGATGATGTCATTTTAAAGAATAAAATTTCCAGTTATAAAAGTTATAAATTTAATTTTTAATACAGGCGACATCACTTAGGTGACATCTCTTAGAGAAAAAATTCTTTTTTATATTATATTAATATTAATATGTAATGATTAATACAATTTGGAAAATTGAAGTAGCTAAATATTTTTAATCACCACTTACTACTATATAGCTATATATATAATATTACCATAAAGTCCTGATTATAAGCATCTCCCGAATATAAGCACCCCCAGATTTTATATTACCCGAAAGTAAGCACCCTTAACCAACACTATGATAATTTTGGCCAATACTACAATATACCAAATATATAAATTTATTCAAATATAAGCACCCCTATAACAAAAAAAGGTTGCTTATATTCGGGACTTTACGGTATATTAAAAATTTATTTTTAATTTAAAAAAAATTAAATTTTAATATAATAAATATAAGATGATTTCTATTTGTATATAAAATGTTCAAATATGAGTTTTTAAAAAAGTAAATTTTTTATATTAGTCATTTAAATTTATTAAATAAGATTTTGCAAAATATTTGATTTAATTTATTTTTATAAATTAAATCTAAATCAAATTTAAATCAATCATAAATAATGAAAGAATGAGTGATTCTTTCTATTTATTTTCATATTCATTTTTTTAAAAAATATTTTTTTTATTTTTTTATTTTCTTTAAACTTTTTTTTTTTTATATTATGAAACACTTTTTATATCTTTTTTTTTTTAGATTATTTATTTTTATTTTTTTTCTTCAAGGTTAATTTCTTTTTTTTTACTATAAAGCTGTTTTTTCTTAAGTACAAAATTTTAAGTAAATATATAAGCAAAAACAGAAATTTTAGAACAAAATTTCTGAATAGATACTAATATACTATACAAAAGTGTGAAGCCTTCCAGCCTCTTTTCTGATATATGAAATTTATGAAATCTTTATTGAACCCCAAATTAATTTACAAGTTTAAAATATATTATAAATCTGATATTGAATTTAAGCTTAAAATTGAACTGGGGGTTTTTTTCTATTATCCAAATTTCTGATATTAAAATTGACTTAGAATTAAGCCTAAAATACCAAAAATAAAACTATTTTATATAATCTTTTTAATTCAATTTTAATTCTAAATAGTATAACGAAAAAAGTATGATATATTGTTTACTTTAGAAACGAGTAAAGAGTACCAAAAATTGAAGTATCCAAGTATACTCTTTGTGAGTCTTTGCAAATATAATAAGCATACTATATTTTCATGTTATTCTACAATTATGATAAATTTCACCTTTTTAAGGTGAGATTTATTGGTTTAGAATAACAAATTTTTAATTTAAGAATTATTAAGTCAATTTTAATATACCGTTAATTTTACAATATGCAAAAACTATTTTTAAAGTCATTTTCTTTATGCAAATATAAAGACAATAAATCTCACTTTTTAGCCAAACATATTTAAGTCTTACTTTGAGTTTCACCTAGTGTTTCGTATGAATCAAATTTTTCTCTAAAATTCGATTCAATTCAAACTAAATTTAAATTTGATTAGACTTCCAAAAATAATTATCTCAGGATCTATTGATCCAATTTTAATGATCTTTTTTTAATCGATAACTTTGTTGCTCTGATCAAAATAAAAAAAATTATTAAAATCGAACTGCTAGATTAAAAGTTATTCACAAAATATGTTTTTACTCTTCAAGAACAATTAGGGTTATACTATATCACAAATCAAAACACTACTCTCACCTTTAAAAGTTATAAATTTATAAATCAAAGGATTGTTAAACAAGTTTTAGTATACCAATATTTTTTTGATATACTGAAATTCATTCTGAGAGCATTTTTTTTATGCAAACTTAAAACAAAAAAATACATCTTAAAAGTATACATATACTAAGTCTCATCTCTAAGTCTCACTTTAGAAGTATATTGATTATATATTAGAGCTTTATTCTGAAGCCTATTAACATGTTGAATCATATAATATCTCTTAATATACAGTTGGTATCAGCCACAAGGTATTCTGGTTACATTAATACATCTTAGTTCAGAGTAAAACTGGCCCTTCTTAGTCCTATTTTCTCATAATTCAAAAATAAAAAAAGTTATTGAATATTAAAGGTTATAATTAAATATTTCTAATTTGGCAAAAGTTTACATGATATATAATAGGTGAGACTTATTGATAATATATCTAGATTAGATAAGAAAAATACTACATATGTTTACTGTAAATATAAATTTATAAGACCAGTTAAATTTTATCAACATTATAAAAGTAATAAAAATCAATGTAGTTTTTCTTCAGAGAATAATCTCCAAAGGAAAGTACCCAGACCTTGATCACCAACCTTCACACCAATTTGAGAAAGGGATTGAAGAAAGGACAAATCTCAAGTGACTACCCAAGCTTTTATTTCAGAACCAGATGTAATCCCAAATATAAGCAAAAATCAAGTGAACTAATAAAATCTATAAACTTACCAATATTTACATTAATATTCATAACCAAATAAATGCAAAGAAGTAATAAGGTATATTAGTTTTATTGTTCAGCTTCAAACATGTTATTATGATGTTAATTGATCTTTCTGCCCTCTATAGATGTTCCAAAATAAGACGGACATATTACTCTTCTTGATATATATCAGCATTTTGAATTTTGATCTTTGCTGAAAAATCGTGATTGCCGGCACATGTCAAATCAGTACAGTAAAAATTGTTGCTTTGCTGATGCAACATATAGCGCAGTAAATCATGCTTTCAACTGGCTGGAATATTACAAAAATGAAATATGATTGTGAAGGGTGGATTGATGATGCTGGGACTCACATGAAATGACCTAGGATCCGCCTACTCCCTCCCTCTTTGATAGCATCATACATTTCTTTTGCTTATCTAGCATTTTCCTTATTAAAAAAAAAAACGTTGTTGATCGTCTGACTGATTTGTACTACAACAGATTTCTTATACATATTTTTTCCTTATATTTTTTTTAAAAAATCGAAAATGTCTACGAGTACTGTTATCCCTCGGTAGAAGACGTTGAAAGATTTAATACGGAACAACTTATCGGTTATTTACGAACAAAGGACTTGAACCTTAACAACAATGACTATAAAAAAAATCGTAATGAGAGAGTCGCCGGTTTAGACTTCCTCCAATTAACTAAAAAAATACTTCGTTCTGAACCTTATAGATTTCCTGACGGACCAGCAAGAAGGTCGAAACGTTAGTCAATTCGTTGAATAACCAAGTAAGTTCTATCATAAAGTAGTTTAACGTTTGTACGCCTCGCGCAAGGCAGTTATTTTATTACTCGCCTCTATGATTTACCTGTCTGTTATATAAATTATATAATACCATATACTTAATCTTGTGCCTTCTTCGAATATAACCATTTGTCATTCTATAAGGCTTTTAACTCTCGAAGAAGCGTTATCCCGTCTGCTTCTATTAAGAAATTGATCGATCTATTACGTCAGTCGTCAGTTGATCGCATAACAAAATTACAAAGGTTTTTATTTATTTATAATTTGGATTATAATGTAGATGAAGGAATTCAACCAAATCTATTCCGAATTCAGGTGATCACGTACCAGATGATGTTTTTCTATGGGATGACTTCTTAGAGAGTGTGAATCTGTATGAATTCACTGATGAAAAAAGATATCAAAGACCGCAATTTTCTCGTTCTAGGTCGGGCGTTGGTGAAATGAGCGCTCAAGCAATTTTTGAATTTAATATCTGCGAAGTATTAAATGAGCTTTTACCCGACTATGAATTTTCGAGAAAAAATACAAAAAAGCCTGGTGATCCGGATTTTACTTGTTTCTTTGCTCAATCAACACTACTCTTTCCAATTGAAATCAAGCCAGAATACCTTTTAGAAGTTAGGAAACTCCAATTTCCAGAATTTTATAAAAGAGTGCAGAAGCAAGAGCGGTGATTAAACAGATTTTTAGTTATATGACAGAAAACGAATGTCAATATGGCGTTCTTTCAACATACAATAAGCACTGGTTTCTGTACCGGCCAAGTAATAACCCAAAAAAGCTCTGGATTTCAGAAACCCTTAAATTAACAAGTGAATCTCCACCGGTTCTCAAGGCGTATGCATACATGGTTCGGAAATTATGCTGTGATAGTGACGATTCTTATTATTCTCATGTTTTGAAAATTCCGGAGTCAGTTACGAGAAAAGATGATGGATCGGTTTCTAAACACACTAGATCTTTAAGGCCTAGGACAAAAAGCTCTTCTGACAATAGCTCAGGCTCATCATCCTCTAGCACTTTGTATAAAGGTCAGAAGAATAACCAGAATCTCTCCTTTATTGATTTCAAGTTTAATGGTATTCTTGGTCAGGGACGAAGCAGAAAGACACTCAAATGTGAATTTCGGGGAAATACGATTGCCTTGAAATGTACCGATCTATGGAAATCTCCACCATATATCTTGAAAGAAATGCAAAATGAAGTCAAGATCTATCAAATTCTTTCTACAATTCAGGGAGAATACATTCCAAAACTAATGTGTTATGGCTACTATGGAGGCGGGATGTGCTACGTTATTGGTACAAGTTTTGTTGGTACTGCTTTAACTAATTATAAGCATATTACAGAACGACAAAGGGTTATGGGTCTTTATGCACTAAATGCAATTCACAGTAAAGGTGTACTTCACAATTACATACGAACGTAACTAGCTTTTCAAAGTATCACCTACTTTTTACATAATATTTTAGTTTTTTTTATAGATTATTTACATTTTTAATATTTGTTTTAGTATATTTTTTTCTTTTTTATTTTTTTTATTTGTTACAAATATGGAATAGAGCTTATATTTAGTGGTTTAGCTTCAAGAAATTATAGAAGGATGAACCTTCATTACCATTTTTTAATGCATGTTTACAATATCTGATGGAAGATTTTCTTTTATATGATCAAGAAATTTGGACTATCAGATATAATAGGCCTTTACTATTAAAATTATTTTATCAATTCAAGAAAGTAGATCAAGTCTGTGCAGTTTTATGGTCTTATTTTATATTGTCATTAATGTATTATGTATCATGATCTTATGTTTTGTATACAGATCACTAATCGAAATCTATTTGAATTTTTGGATGAGTATATTAAGAAGCATATACAAGTTATCTTTATATTTACACTTTTACTTGTAGGAAAAATACATAATGATTGTAGTATAGTGTAGGGTTTCTCAAAATTGAATTAAATTAAATATGAAACTAATTTGAATTTGTCAAATCAAATTAAATTCAAATTAAATTTAAATTAAATATCAAATATTTGTCAAATTGACCAATTAAATTAAATTAAATCAAATCAAATTCAAATCAAATGTCATGTCAATCAATTCTAGTGTAACTACCCCAACGGCACCCAGAAAATTCTTCGAACTCGGCCGGCGTTATGCACTGACACGTGATCTAAGATTTAGGATGTGATGAATAAAACGTGACAAATAGAATTTCATCTACTTGAAAAAATCTGTCCCTCAGATAAATATAAACAGTGAAACTCGGACAAGGGTGTAACGATGTGATAAATAAAACCATATCACGTGATAGAAGAATTTTTCTGGGTGCTGTTGGGTTATTTATTTTAGTGTAATAAGTCTCGTGATTAACTAGTAAAAGAAAGTGATACCATTTGGCTAAGAATGTAATATTTCAAATATTTACTTTTTATTAATACAATCTGACCATCCGATAGTGCATGTATAAGTATTACTTTAATATAACAGATAGTTTGTTAATTAATAATATTAGGTTTTTAGTTATACTTGTAATTTATTTATCTTGTATTCTTTAATTTAATAAACTGGCAAATGCAATACAACTACCAAAAAAAAATCAGATCATAAAATTTGTGATTTATAATTTAATTAGATTAAAAAATATAATTTAATTAAAATCAAATCAGATCTGAATTAGATTTAAACTGATTTATAAATTATTAAATTTCTTAATAAAAAAAATGATTACTAATATACTGATTTTTTTAATAAAATTGATTAGATTACTAATATAATAAAATCAATTAGATATTAATTTTTCTTAATAAATTGGTTTACTTTTTTTTGTTACTTGTAGCAATTTATTAAGATAAAAATAGAAAGTACAAATAAATATACTATAAGAACTATCATTATCGATTTTAATTTATTAATTACTAAACTACTTATTATCTCATATCAGAAACTAGTTATAAAATTGGTTTATTTTTATTAAAAAAAACTAATATATCAATTTTTTAATAAAATCAATTTTTTTATTAAAATTAGTTATTTCATTAAAAAAAACTGATATACAGTCTCTAATGAAAAGAATGGCAGTGCGAATATCATTTGTTGTTTTGGATATGAAATCAGAATTTTCCTATTTAAATTAAAACTTGTAATGCTCAATGGATTTTTAAAATACTATTTTAAAAAGCAATAAAAAAAATGGAAATTTTATCATTGTTTTTATGCTTATTTTACCTTCTAAAAAACAAAGAAGTTATAAATTTAATAGAAATCAGAGAATAATAATTTGCTACAAATTTTTTTAAAATGCATAAAATCTTACATAATAATAAATTCCAATTTTTTTAAAAAAAAAACTACTTACTTTTAACTGCCAAATATTATAATTGCATTTTGTTATATTATATTACCATAGAGAAATACTACTGATAATTTTTACATTAAAATTGAATTTGATATAAAAGTTTGAAATAAAAAGTTTAAACTTCATTTTCTCATCTACTAAAGTTTGTATTGAAATAAAATTACAATTATTAGATTCCTTGCAATAATTACAAGATTTAAATAATAGTCTTTTATTATATTATTGAACTTTTATATTGCTTTTGAAAAATGATTATCTTTATGCAACATAAAAATTCATTATACTTACTATTATACTTGAACTATCACATTATACAGATATTACACAGAAATTTTAAGACCACCATTCAAACCACATAATCAAGAGGAATTTAATAGTGATAATTTTATCTCAATTTAACCTCTGAATGGTGAAAAAGTTAAGAAAATATTAAAATATCATAATAAAAGAGCGCTAGTTAAAAGTGCGAATAGTATACAATACTAAATTGAAGCATTTATTGACATGGTAGATAAGCATATCAAATATTAGTTAAATAATGAAATATATGTATTTTCTGTTCTTCTTTCAGAAAATAAAAAAAAATCACATTTTACTATAAATTACATTTGTAATATTAAAAAAACTGACTGCCATTCTTTTTACTAGCTAGGATTTGTATTTATAATTAAAGATAATTATGAAAGATTTCAAAATATTGCAAATATATTGATAGAAAATAAGATAATAATTATTTATATTCAGATTTTATGATGTTTAATAAAAGTAACTAATAATATATTAAAATTTTTTAAATAAATTTAAAATCAGATTTAATTAATGCAGCTACTTATGAATATTTATTTTTATTATATTTAGCAAAATATAATTAAGTATTTTAAAACAAAATTAAAAGAAAATTTTCAATTATTTATTAAAGTATTTTATATATGTAGAAATATTCTAAGTATTGAATTATTTGAATAATGATAGTAATATATATAATAATAATATTTTTAGAAAGTAAAATTTATATATATATTTAAAATATTATATTTAAATCAAAGTTGTTATTAAGTTAAAATATTTTTATTATTTCAACCCAATAGTGATATTTAAATTTTAAAATAATAGAATACAGAATTTATTAATAATATAATTAAAAAGATTTTATTATAATAAAGATATTTTTCTTAAAATAATTGATTTAAAGTAGTTATTAAAGCTGCAAAACTGGAAGTAATGAAATTATTAAAAGACTTTATTTTAAATAATAAAAGAATCATAATGGTGATAATAATATAAAATAAGTACTAAAATTACTGGAAAAACTAGAGAGTTTTAGCAAATTGGCAAAATGCTAAAATAGCAAAACTTTACTAAAACTATATAAAAATTTTATTAAAAAGTTGGTAAAACTCTAAAAAAAAATAAAACTTAACAGCATTTATTATAAATACTAAAATTGCTAAAATCTTATTAAAATTATAATAAAATTATAGTAAAATTTTAGGGAAACTAATTGTAGGACTTTGAAAAAATAACTTTAGAAAGTATTGAATATTACCAAAATAATAATAATATTATTTTTTTATAATAAATATTAATTGATCAAATAATAGATTTTTATATTACTAAAGCTTGTAATATTATTATATAAAAAAAGAGTAAAAATTAAAAAATTATATGGAGATAATAGTGAAAAAAAATGCAATATATGAAATTACAAAATATGTTAATATACAAAAGACTAATAATAAAAATAGAAGTATAAGAATACAATAAAAATGTTTATTATATAAAAATCCAGAATATTATTAAAAAAATATTTAAGAGACAGATCATCATTCAATTGGTAAAAATGATAAACATTCTATAATTAATTTTATGGATTTTGTAATTAATAAAAAAAAATTTTTTGGAATTTTTTGTTCTTTACTATAAATTTTTTTCCAATAAGTGAAAAAAAACAGTATACAATAACTTTAATGTCTAAAAAAAATATTTCATAAACTTGCACTATATGTATACATATATAGTTTTAGTAGAAACTGTATAAGTTTAACAAAGAATGTGAATATTAAAAAGATTCAAATAAAGCTAAATAAAGATTTAAAAACTAAATAAAAAACCAAATATAGCTTAGTTACAGTGAAAAATATTCAAAAATTTTTCATCCAATATTTGGATTAATAGGAAATTTACTGTCAGAATCTTGCGTTTCTACATAAAAAAGTCAAAGATGTGAAACTCTAGCGATTTTAAACTTTGCAAGTGACTTAGCTAGGATTGTCACTATTAATTACCATCTTTAAAATTTGTGTATCATATCACATGATAATATGACAATCTGGTAAAAAAGAAGTATTAGCCATTTTTAGCAATAATTTGCATAAATCGGCATTATTAAAATTCTCCGGTTGAGTGGCAATTTGTTCCTTAAATAATAAAAGGATCTATTTACTTATAAGATAAGTTACCAGAAACTATAATTAAGAATTTTTAAAAATCCTATTATATATATATAAATTACATTTAAAAAAGGAAATATTACACTAAATTGTTATAATTTTTTTCTTTTTAGATCAATTAACCAATAGGATTACTGGTAAAATTACTAGTAAATTTGAACTTTTTTCTGAAAACTTCTATTAGGAGTATTAAAATGAAGTTCTGTAATAAAAAAATAATACTAATAAATAGTATATATAAATAATATTAAAGTTTAATTAATTATTTGATAATTAATAGAATTTTGCTAACTTTTTCTTTGGGAAATATCACTTAAGTAACATCATCTGTATTAAAAAATAAAATTTATAACTTTTATAACTGGAAATTTTGATTTTTAAAATGACATCATCAAATTTAATAACTTTAGCAAATTCAAATCTTATCCTAATTCTAACACCTAATCATAATCCTAAATAACTCTAATCCTAATTCCCTAATCCAATCCCTAATTCTAACTCTAACTTTAACTAATCTACATGATTTAATTTTACATAGGTAATATCACCTGAGTTAAATCATATGGGGAGAAAACTAGTCTTATACTTAATAGAAATTTATTAAAGTATATTAAATT